CAATTATTTTCAACAACTGTAGGATAATAGACAAATCCAGACATTGGTCTTTATTACTTTTTAAAGAATCTCTATATATTCATCGCCAGAGACCGGAACTTAACCACGGATGTAAAGCCTCTAAGGAACTCATAATTTTTAACCAACACATATCATATTTCATTAATTTGATCTTGTATATATAGTTTTGTATTTCGTAGTAGCGTCATTCCTGATGATGACTGCAAGCTAGTCGAAACGTCGAATCAAAATGTTAACCGTTTTCGGAGTGTCCATTGTTTTGTATTTTTTACAACAAATTAACCACCGCAAATATTCAACGGTATTAAATTAACGCTACCAATGTGCAAACAATCATGCCAAAAGTGTTTATAAGATCTAGAATGCCCAAAGTATATGTCGCAGGGAATTATCTCTTGTTGAGATATGTAAATAAGAGTTTGGCATTTTTTGAGACTATCACGTAACAAGTTAGTTTCGAAATTTCAAAGCTTTTGGAAACCGGAAGAATTCAATGTACGTGACAAACAACATTAAACAAGGAAATTGAACCAGGATATTATATCATCCTCCCTACTCGATTTTGGTCAATTTAAAGGAACACAACGGTGCGACTGGTACTATTTTGTAAAAGTGGTTTTAAAGGAATGGCTGGAATACTAGTTTAATATAACAGGTATGTAACCTCTACTTATTTGTTGTAATAGAATATTGTGATTATTCGTATGTGAAACCCTATGTTGATAGAAGCAATCAGGTATATTATCAGACATCCGTCTTCCTACTCTGTTTCTGGTTTGTGTACTGCTAATAAATGCTATCTCTCAATAAAGTAAGAAAATTCACAACGTTTCGACACCCAGTCTAGTGTGTTCATCTGTAGCGGCGAACCTCTACTAAATCGTGCTATCCGTTGTTTGGAGCCAATATGCGAGGATGCTAATTTTCTTAATCTTGGAATTACTTTCGGGAATTTTTATACAACTTATCTTTGCTGCTATACGCCTAAAGTTAATCTCGGAAGGCCGCTACTTTCGGGATTCTATAGGGTATAAAAACAATAGCCTTATATAATTAAAAAGTTCGTATAGAAATAAAAATAACTACCTACAAACTATGCTCTATATATAGTATAAAAGTAAAGATGTTTCTTTGTGTCACATGTTTGTGATTGATGGTCATGCAATGTATAGCTCTGTTATAAATACGCTTTTACTTGATAATAATCATCTCACTGACACAAATAGTGATTTGGCTAAAGATCTTAGTTCTACACGAACGATTAATGATGAAATAACTGCCTTGGCTATGAAGAATCTGAAGTTATCTTGGGCTGGTGATTTCGAATCTTTAAAACGTGTTGTTAGTGATTATATAAAATTTGACGGGAGATGGACTTCGCCCGGAGGAGAGAAGAAAGTTTGCAGTAATCCAGATACATCTATCACCTGGTGGAAAAATAAAAAGTTCCTTCTGGTTGAAGGTAATCAAGCTGAAAGGATAATTGAACTATTTATTGTAATTTTAACGAATATTGCTTCGTTTCGCCCTTCAGATCGGCCGGGTAATATAAACATAGATCTCCCGAATTCAGATAAAATTAATCTTGTTAGTTCCTGTTCGTGCAAATGTAACAATTTGACTGTTGATATCGAAGGAATAAAACTAGATAACGTGGTTCTTGAGTCGAGGATGGAACATAAAACCAACACTAACACTGAAATTATCAATAATGTACAACAAGAGTTGCTTAAGTTGCAGAGTAAATGTGACATGTTAGCAGATCGAGTGG